CATACTGTGAATGACCGTAACTGTGAAGTAAGGAAAGCCCTCTCAAAGCAAGAGATGGCCAGTACCTCTTCTAGCCAAAGAGTTGTCAAAGTGGTTCTGGAAACTTCGGTGGTGGCCGTGGACATGGTTTTGGTGGGAATGACAACTTTGTTCGTGGAGGAAACTTCAGTGGGCACAGTGGCTTTGGCGCAGCCGTGGTGGTGGTGGATATGGAGGCAGTGGGGATGGTTATAATGGATTTGGTAATGATGGAAGCAATTTTGGAGGTGGCGGAAGCTACAATGATTTTGGCAGTTACAACAATCAATCTTCAAATTTTGGACCCATGAAGGTAGGAAACTTTGGAGGCGAAGCTCTGGCCCTTATGGTGGTGGAAGTCAATACTTTGCCAAACCATGAAACCAAGGTGGCTATGGTGGTTCAAGCAGCAGCAGTAGCTACGGCAGTGGCAGAAGATTTTAATGATTGCCAGGAAACAAAGCTTAGCAGGAGAGGAGAGCCAGAGAAGTGACAGGGAAGCTACAGTTTACAACAGATTTGTGAACTCAGCCAAGCACAGTGGTGGCGGGGCCTAGCTGCTACAAAGAAGACATGTTTTAGACAAATACTCATGTGTATGGGCAAAAATAACTCGAGGACTGTATTTGTGACTAATTGTATAACAGGTTATTTTAGTTTCTGTTCTGTGGAAAATATAAAACATTCCAACCAAGGGTTAAAATACAGATTTTTTTTTTTTTTTTTTGCATCCATGCTATTTGATTGCTTAAATGTAATAGTCAGATCATGAAACTGAATAAATGTCTTAAAAAAAAAGTCAACCGAATTCATAGAAACAGCTATGTAGTTTCTTTTTGTCTATTAGATTTTAGGGGGGAAAAAAGTAATCATTTTACTGCTTTTACAATTATAAATACACAAAAGTTATAGAGAAAACAGGATCAGTAGAATGTCAGAGAAACTAGAAATCAGAACTAGAATCAGATTTCTATCACTTACCCCACATCAGACTCCTTTCCCTAAGATGTCATCGTATTCATGCTAAAACACCATAGTAACATAATAAGGATGGACTTACTTGCTACCTGTCTTTCAAAACAAGAGTAAGGGATTGGGTTCATGTGGACTATCACCACAGTGACAAGCACTCTGGATTCATGCTACATTCTGATGCTGGCTGTTCTTTGAAAACTACCTGTGTGACCTGGAACAAGCCCTTTAACTTATCTGGCCTTCAGTTTCTACATCTATAAAGGAGTTAGATGTGGGGTCAAAGGAAGACACCAAGTTTCCTGATTTGTGGTTTCTCTCTGACAATGTAATAATTTATAAAAAGTCTCTTCTAGCCCTAACATTACATACACACACAAACATTTAGTGCTTCAGGCTATCAAGCAAAATTCTATACTCAAACTACCATCAAAAACAGATACATCCAACAATAATTACAAAATCTTACCCCTTGGATGCGAAGCTCTTCTTTTAGAGGAGCCAAACTGCATTTCTTTCCCAGCATACAGCTATACCATCTAGAAGAAATAAGACAAGTACAGCACTGCTTATGCAGTTACATTTTAATACTAAGCAACACTCAAGTGGCAAAGTGAGAACAGCAAACAAACACTGAGTGAAGTCACAAGTATCAGTAACAAAAACTGCATATAATGTATTCAAAGAAAAATCGGATCTAGTGGTGGAAAACAATTCAAAAGCAACTTAAAAAAAAAAAAGAAAAAGAAAAACCCACTTGGAGCTCTCCAGTGTTTCAGGGCAGTATTTGGAAAAAGGGAAGAAGAGGCAGGTCTCATCTATAATCTCTGAACAAAGACTACTTAGCTCTAGGGCAGAACTGATCAATAAATAATATAAAAACATGCATAAACATTCCTTACACTATAATGAGAACTTATAAGTTCCAGCATGAACTTGTATTTTGAGATGCCCTCACCTGTAAATAATTTAAGAATATATATATTGCATTAGAATTTCAACAGACCATGATATCATTTTGTTCCACAGCACATACAAATCCAGAAAAACTAGTGTAGAGAAGATGGAATGAATCAGCTAAAAGGTAAAAGGATAGACTTTATTTTTCCCAATTATTCTAAAGAGTATATGCAAAGTATAAAAATTTATACAGGACTTCTGCTTCAGCCCATCAAGGATTAACTACTATGGGAATTGTCCTACCACCATAAACAGCTAGGACACTGGGTAAAAAATATGCAGCAACTGTTTTCAGACATTGAACAACTGGCAGTGCAAGCCTGTGATTGCTGAGAAAGGGAAACAAACAAGTAAGCCCTAAACTGCCAGAGCTTACTGCCTGCAGGCAATTTCCAGGCTACAGTGCAGGAAAGGGAAACCCAAACAGAACCCAAGAGTCTTAGAGAACTGATGAGAGACAGGCTGAGGCAGTGAGAATTCGCAGAGCAAAATGGCAGAGGAAGGAGCTGCACACAAAGAGAACCTGGGGAGCCTGCTGATGCTCTCTGTAGAGTAGCTGGCTGAATAATGCTCTGTACACATGTGGAGTCTTAACTCCATAAGGCTAAGGAACGAACTTCCAGAAAGCAGTAGACCAAACAATCCCTGAAGCCCAGACAGAGCTGGGAATAGTTTCTGGTTCTACTAGCTAGAGCAGAAAAGTCTTTGCAATAAAGAAGACATCCAGTAGAGCTTTTGAAAAGAAAATGCTTTGTAGTTGGGCTAAAGACTGTTCTAGATGTACCTTAACAAAGCAAGCCTCAAAAGGATCAAAGTGACCCCAAGTAACTTAAGTAAGTACCAGAACAAAGTCCACCACTACTGTAAGTCTCAAAATTATTCCACCACCCTTAACAAAACTCAGTGTCCCCTGGGGGCAGTGGTGGTTCAGAGGTAGAATTTTATTCCACACACGAGACCTGGGTTTGATTCCCAGCCAATGCACCTCAAGCACAAATGCCACCCTTTTGTCACTGGAGGCTTGAGTGCCACTATGAGGCTGCAAGTTTCAGAGAAGGCTCCAGGCTAAGACAGACTAAGGAGAGAGACCTGGTGATCTACTTCCCAAAAATCAGCTGATGAAAACCCTATGGGTCACAATATTCCAATCCTTTTGTGCATAGGGAAACAAAGAGGCAGGGCGAGCTCGAAAATAGCTAACTACAGTGTACTCTAAGCAAACTCTTCCCCCTTTTACCTTTCCTCCTATTCCTGATAACCACTAATAAACTTTGGTCTTGATACATTTGGCTATTTCATATATCAAAAAAAAAAAAAACAAACAACTCATTGCCGTTGAGTCGATTTGACTCATAGTGACCCCTCCTTGGGTTTCTGAGGAGGTATCTCTATGGAATTAGATTGCCCAATCTTCCTTCTGAGGAGTGGCTGGTGGGTTTGAACTGTCAGCCTTCTGGTTAGTAGTCAAATGCCTTAGGCACCAAGTGGGATTATAAAACATTTGTCCTTTTGTGATGTACTTATTTCACTCAGTACAATGTTTTCAGATTCATCCATGATGAAGCAGGTTTCAGAACTACATTTCTCTTTATGACTAAGTATGGCAAATTCTTATAAAGTTAAACATATACTTAACCACAGGATTTAACAATCCTACTCTTTGGTATTTACTTTAGAGGAAAACATGTCCATATGTATGTAAATGTTCACAGAAGTTTAATTCATACTAGCCAAAACCTGGAAATGACCTCAGTGTCTATTAACTACTGAATGGATTAATAAATTGTGATACATCTATGAATGACATTCTATTAGCAATAAAAATGGGCAAACAACGGATACAAAGCATCATTATACGACATGAAAGAAGCCATACACAAAAAAATACATGACTCCATTTATATTAAAATCTAGAAAAACCAAAACTGTTATGAGAGATAAAAGGCAGATTAGTGGTCACTGGAGGCTGGGAGTAAAGGACCGCAGGTGCCACAGTGGTTAAATATTTTGCTGCTAACTGAAAGGTCAGTGGTTGGAATCTACCAGCCACTCCATAGGAGAAATATGAGGCAGCCTGCTTCTGTAAAGATTACAGTCTTGGAAACCTTATGGGGCAGTTCTACTCTGTCCTGTAGGGTCAGTATGAGTTGGAATCAACTTGATGACAATGGGTTTAAGAGGCTTGGTGTAGGGTGGGGACAGACTACAAGGGGTACTAGAGAATTCTTTAAAACCAGATGCTGCTGTGTTAACTCTGAATCATGGCAACCTCATGTGTATCAGAGAACAGTGTTCCACAGAATTTTCAGAGGATCACCAGGTCTTTCTTCCAAGGCTCCTCTGGGTAGATCTGAACCTCCAACCTCTTAGTTAGCACCTGAGCACTTTTTGTAGTGATGAAAATGCTCTATATCTTGATTGTGGTCATAGTAACATGTACACATTTGTCAAAACTCATCCAACTGCACATAGAGAATTTTACTTTATGCAAATTGTACCTCAATAAAACAAATTTAAATATATAAATTTATGTGATATATCTTGTACCTTCAAAATACATTAAAAAGTTTCATTTAACATTATACTAATGTCTTTCATGGGAGCTCTGGTAGCATAGTGGCTAAGACACTTGCCTGCTAACCAGACTGCTTGTGGTTCAAACCCACCAGCCACTCCTCGGAAGGAAGGTTGGGCAATCCTACTTCCGTAGTGATACTGCCTCGGAAACCCAAGGAGGGGTCGCTATGAGTCGGGGCCGACTCGATGGCACATAACAACAACAACAACAATGTCTTTCATATTTCCTTCCTGTTTTATAACATAGCTTAGTCATAGTGGCAATTCACATTCTGTATCCTGCTTTTTTCACTACGTCATTAAAAACTCATCTAATTGTATTCTCAAGAGAAATGTCAGATTAAGGGGATATGCATTCAATATTTATTTGTTTATACGCAAAACAGCTATTATGTAGGTGAATTCTAAGGTGTCTAAAATTCTAAGAGAATTTAAGAGGTTTAGTATCAACAATTAGGTTAAAACTACATAAAACAGCCATTTTTATACACTGAAAATTACTGAATACTGATAATTTCATATGGTTCAACACAATGCATTAAATAATATAAATGAAGATTTCTGCGAATCTTTAAAGTATGACAAATATTATATTGCTTCAGAAATAGTGGGCATCAACATATATTTCATTTGCCTTCACTATGGGTATAGCAACAGGTGATTTCATCTATATGCATTTGTTTAGGTAATTCTTTTTCCCTTTCAAAATACAAAGAGAAATATCTGTTGTACCTAACCTACTTTAAGGAGCCCTGGTTGTGCAATGATTAAGCTCTTGGCTGCTAACCAAAAAGTCAGAAGTTTTAACCCACCAGCCACCCATGGAAGAAAAGATCTGGCAGTCTGCTCCCATAAGATTACAGCCTAGGAAGCCCAATGGGGCAGTTCTACTCTGTCCTAGAGGATCCTTATGAGTCATAATCAACAGGATGGCCCACAACAATAATAAAATAAACAAACATGGGCAAATTTATTTAAGCATAATCAATTTCACTCAGTGGTTTTAAAATGTTTGGAAGAAAAATAATATGCTCTTTTTAAGAAGACAGTATATCAATGGAGAAATCATGAGCCAGGAATTGAAAGCCCTGGTTATGTTAGGTGCAAGATGAAGGAAAATAAATTAGTGCTCACATAGTAATAGAATAAAATAGGTTAATTAACCCCTTTCCTCTAAAATTAGCATTCCTGAGTAGATTAGATCAGAGCCATCAGATGCCAAGAAATGGCCCAGAACAAAGACAAGAGGATAATATAAGGCATCTTCAGGTGAAAAGGTAAGTAAATATTCAGACAAGTAAAATTCGAAGCAGTTACCTGTTATTGGTACTTAACAAAAGCTTGAGAGAATTTCTATTTCCTTTAACTTCTACTTTAAACTGAATATTGTATTGTTAATCTTTTAAGAATTAAGCTCATCAGTACACTGTCTTCTTCAACAGTTACACTTCTTAGAGAAAAAGCAGAAGTAACTAGATGTGTTAAAAATCCTGTTTTACCTTCATTTGAAAAAATGCCTACCCACTAGACCCTAGTTACTCTCAACAGGCATCTTCTAACAACTAATCAAAATGAAAGCAGAAATAAATGAACAAAAGGAAGATCAGGCACCCAAGAGACTCTGAACCCATTATACTGTTTTAATGATGAAAGTAGCACTCTACTCATTACAACATTTAGTAATTCCTCTGAGACAGTAGGTTGCAAAAAAAATTATTTTGAAGTAAGTTCAAATCTCCAGAAGAGTTACAAGATTAGTACAAATGTCTGAAGAATACCCTTTACCCAGATTCACCAATTAACATTTCCCCCCTATTTGCTTATTCAGTGTGATATAAACTTTTCCTGATCCATTTGAGAACTGACTGTAGACATTAACATGTCCCTCTAACCTTAAATATTTCATCATATATATTTTAAAACAAGGACACTCTTTTTCATAAAAATCTAAACAAGTATATTAAGAAAATTTAACACTGGTAGAATACTATTATCTGACATA